TACAAAAACCATCACATACCTCAGTTACCGGCTTTATTCTTAACATATATCGTTCAATCACACCATCTACTGACAGTTTATTGCGTCCCAACCAGCCATTCACTTGATTCCATATCTTGCGTATATCTCCTTTACAGTTATATAAGTTTAATTTTCTGTAGTCATTCCTAGCACGATTTATAAGTTTATTTGTGTAGTTCCTATGCCTTGTATACTGTAGTCTGTAGTTATTATTCTTTGGGTTCGATTTCCATTTCCTAAAAAGTCTGTCTTTTTTTTCAATCATGTTTTGTATGTGCTTATATACCCATGGCTGTGTTTCTGCTTGGTTCAGATGTCACTCGAACGGTGCATTTTTTATATATATTTTGGAATAAAGTAAGAATTTGACAATATAGCTCGCACGGATCCTCCAAACTTGTTAATTCTAACCACTTTACATCATGTATGAGTTCACTAATCATTTTGTTGTTGTAAGTTGTACGAGAGACCGATTCCTTTTTATGTGTGTCCAAATCAGCTGTTAAACCGGTTATATAATGATCAGCGATCTTACTTGTGACTGTGTACGCTCGGAGTGCACCTGCAGTCTCAGTGCGTGCGAAGACATGGTCGATGCACGACGCCACTCGTCGCCCCGCCGTTATACTCTCGCGCGTTACGTCCGATATGCAGCATTGCAGCCCTTGTTCAAACAACATATCTAAGTATTTATTTGAAGTGGCATCAAGGTTCTGCTCCAAAATATTAATATTCACATCTCCAATTACAATTAGGTTACTTCTTTCTGGTACTCGACGCAGTAGTGTTTGTAACTCAATTATAAAACTAGATTTATTCATACTTGGTGGTCTATAGACAACAAATATGTATGTACTGTAATTTTTTGTGGGTATCTCGCCAGTTATCATTTCGCAGTGTTTTACGCACATGCTCTGTGGTGAAAAAGTAATTTCCTTTTTCACATATAACATTATTCCGCCACCGCGCCTGTTTTCCCTAGTCCAGGAGTGTATATTGAAGCCACTTAATTGATATCTATATATTTCTTCATTTTTTATATTTATTTCTGTGAGACATATAATATCTATGTTATCGATACATGCCTTGATTATTGCAATAAGTTCACCAAAATGTTTTCTCAGGGAACACACGTTCACGTGTATAATTTGAAATTGTGTCGTCTGTTTATTAATCGAATTATACCATATTTTTAGACTCGGGTATTAATTATACTCACAGTCATTTAAGGGTCGAGACAAATAAATTGTAGCCATATTATATTTGTCTGTAAATCTTCTTATATTAAGTGTTTATTATGTTATTTTTTTTACTCCTGGTTATTTTTTATAAAGGCCTCTATGTCAGTTTCAAAATTAATTTGGTAGATTTTCTTTTCGTTTTCACTTTTTTTAATAAGTATTCGTCCATTCTGTACCCATATATATTTATATGTTTCCCTAAGTTTATTTTTCACACTCCAAAACAGTTGCCGCCTTTGACGCGTCAGATGCTCATTAATGTAAATTCGGGAGCTGTTTTCGTTGTCGTAGATAGTGTTATTAGTGATTGTTAATTTCTTGCACTTCAGTCACTCTGACCGAGCTTCTTTCGTTCGCAGTGAGACAATAATAGGCCGTGGTCTTTTATTATTAATATTTTCCTCTGGCATTCTCCAGACTTTTTCAATGTCCTCAGTCTTCAATTTTAGTTCTTGGGCTATTTTACTCACCGTTGCTTGCAAGTTTTCACCTTCCAGCTTTTGTACATTAATAAGCTCTACCTGCATTTGGAGTTCCTTCTGCTCCAGTATCATTATGCGTTCTTCCAGAGCCCTATTACATTTTTCGATGTATATATTTGTCTGTTGCAAATCTTTTATTTTGTTATCTTGTTTCTTAGATTCTTGCTTTATTTCTTTTTCAGATTTCTCTAGTTATGTATACTTTTCTCCTAAGTAATCGACAGCTTTTTCAATCTCGTCGTTAGTTCTTTTTATATCTATTATTTGATTTTTTATTTCAGTCATATCAGTGTGGATCTTCGTAAAACGAACATTCTGCTCCTCTTTCATTGAGTTTAGGAGCAAGTTCATCGCCTTCATTTGCTCACTCAATCAGCCAAAGCTTTGTTCATAAGATCTGAGTTACAGCAAGATGTTTTTTGTCGTCTGGTTTCACGACTTATGTATGAATCGCTATCAGAATCGACATTTAATCGCTTTTTCTTTGGACGAGTTTTACTCCAGTCACGCGCATTATCCGCCAAGGCAGCAACATTCGGCTCTGATCCATAATAAACCTTATCAGTCTCCGGTGTACGGAGCATCTTGTAGGCCTTTATTTATTAGTCGGCGGCAGATTAAGCTAATAACTTACTGGTAGTGGGAGCCACTGACTGTCCACGGGAGGGGACAAGTGGGCGGAGCAACCAGCGCACGCGCTTGAAGCATAAACAATGTGCACTATATTTATTTTCTTTTTACTTATAACTTTGTCCTTTTCACTGATTTAATATTAAGACGTAGGTTAAGGATACGACCGTCGCTCACGCGACATCCACGAGAACTGGAGCGACACTTGCACTTTTTATTAATATAGTATCTTTTGCAGTGGCACATTATAAACCCTTGCTTACTTCCAGATGAGCATCTATGTTAATAGATGCTGAGCGAAGTGTTAATGACGAAGTTCAGGGCACATCACAGATGTTAATAAAGTTGGTTTCAGAAAGTGTAAACTCATTACGTGCATAAAGTCTATCGAATGTACCTTCCTTGTTTCCTAACTGGTGGAGAGACCAGATGGATTAATGCTCATAACAACACACATAACATTCCTGGGTGCTGCACGTCCTCTATCAACTTACAACCTGTCCGTCTTGATATGGTTAAAATAATGAATGCTCAGAACGCGTCATGGCTTTTCTTCATTGCCACAACGCGTTGAGATCGAATATCATGTCAGCCACGACACGAATTTCGCTATTTGGTCTTTCTGTGATTGCCACAACACGTCGTGCGCGTTTTCATTAAAGCCATAACACGAATTTCGCCATGTGGATGTTTTACTGTGACCACAACGCGTTGTTTTCGATCTTTGAGCGTAACATAATATACTTAATACAACATTTTCCACGCCTCTCAGGGGCAAAATTGAAAAAGGTATTTTCGTTACAACAACAACAAGATATTAGATGGCTTATGGCTGACCCACAGTTCATCAAAACCATGTCGGATCCTCAAAGAGAAGTGTGGATTGGCTTTAAAGAGGCCATAGAGAAATTATTCGATAGTAACAAAAAACCAACTACAAGAAATCGCCAAACAAAAATATTAAAAGCATTTCAAGCTTTATGTTGCATAATAAGTTTTAAAGAACGTTTATTTTTTATTCCCACCTCGAATACTTTCCACAACTAATGAACGTAGTTTTGATATAAAATAAGTTTTGTTACGTAGGTAATTAAAATTAAAAAAAATATAGTCTTTTAATTTTATTTTTAGATGATAACTTGTTTAAAATATATACCTATTTTGTCAGAAAACGTGACGTTCTACGATAAAATGAAAGTTATTTTCGGATTCAGCACACCCAAAAACATAAGAATTACGCAAAAAAACCGAAACAACTTTCAATTTAATTTTATGTGCAGACTTGTGTTATCTATGACGCCAAAAAAATTTTATGGTAATACGTAGAAAATAACCTGAATCTGAATTTATAATATGAAACCATGATTTCTAATAGATTTCATGATAAATATAGTAATTATCATGATTGTATTATACGAGATTGTAGAAACACATCGATAAAGACTCCAGAAAAGTTGTGGTTTAAATTGCCTAGAGAAATACACATACCTACACATGAACACACGTTTAAAACTTGCTAAATCCTGTAACGTATCGCCTGAAAGTAATTTCTTTTAGCAAAGATCACTTCAATGTAAGTACTCATTGAAATATATTTAAAGTTTAAAAATACAATTTTTAAGGTTATTTATTTATTTTATATAGTTATGAATGTTACCTTCTAAAAAATATACCTACTTAGTCAAAGAGTTTGGTCGTTTCTGCTTTCACAAATTCGGCGTCCAGCATTAATTTAGTCAACAAAACCAATTAACGGAAATCAAGATAACAGACTTTTTAGATATATTCTAGCCCGACGAAAAAAACCACAGTAACACGACAATGTGACGTTAAGTTGTTTACAAATTTAGTAACGTCACAATCATGGTGGACAGCGTTTTTAGTGTTTATAAAGCATAGACCAAAAAACTATTTTTCAAATTAAATTACTACAGCAATCTTCTAATTTTATGAAGTGAAATCGATGTATTTTGTTTCCTCATACTAAAAATTATAAGAAATGAACATTTGTATATTGCAATTTGACATGAGTTAACTATTATAGCTATTAACGGGATTGTTACCATGTACCTTGTTTTTTATGAGTCTCCGATATTTCGGCACTGTTGCAAGCGCCATGATCACGGAGTAACTGAAGTAATTGCGGGTAGATGTTATTGGCAGACATATCGGTCTACCCTCTGACGTCGTCTTTTACTGCGCTCGATACCCCTACCATTGGTCACATTCTCACTATTCACTCGCACCTGTTCCCGACACACAATACTCACAGTATCAGATCGTGGAACGACACTTTTTTGATTTTTGCGGTTTTTGCACATACAAACCACTGGATTCCAGACACTTGACAATTTAAACCCATCCTCACGATTGAAATTTTTGTTTTGGTTATTTGGTACGACGTCAGAGGGTAGACCGATATCTGACAATAACATCTACCCGCAATTACTTCAGTTACTCCGTAATCATGGCGCTTGCAACAGTGCTGAAATATCGGAGACTCATAAAAAACAAGGTACATGATAACAATCCCGTTAATAGCTATAATGTTAGTGACCATGAAAGTTTAAAACAATATATGAGTTAACTAGCCTATTGTTTCTAACAAATATTTATTTTATTTCAGATTTACATGTATTGCAACAAAAAAATATTGAAATGGAGGATAAGTTGGCTGATATGTCGGTACTACAAAATGAGCAAGTTTGTTCAGAAATGAAATCTGTTCAATTAGAAGAACAAGTTGATGAACTTACAGCTTCTCGAAAAGAATCAGAACTTATAATAGAAAACTTAAAGTTAGACAAAGAACAGCTTAATGGTACAATACAACTGTTGCAAGAAGAGAAAGTACAAATTATCCAAAAATTAGAAAGTTACATACAAGAAAACATGGATCTTGCTGAGAAACTAGAAAAATTGAGTGCGGAAAAAGTTAGTTCAGCTGAATCTATAGAAATAGTGGAATCTTTAACACCTCAGGAAAAACTAGAATTAGAAGAATACAATAAAGGTATTTTGGAAAGTAAAGAATCTAACACAGAAGACGTATCTTACAATACCGAAAGCAAGGTACTGAGTTTAATGGACCAGGTTGCAGAATTGAATAAAAAGATTGATTTATTCACTCAAGAGAGGCAAGAAGTAATGGATAAAATGAATATGATTAATTCTGAAAATGAAAAGCTTCTTGTAGAAATAAATGATTTAAGCTGTCTACGCAATAACCAGGAAATTAATATCGAACAATTAAATCAAGAAAAGAATGAACTTTTATCGTTAAATGACGAATTAAGTCGACAAATTGCAGAGCTGAAATATGAAAGACAGGAAATAATAAAAGAAACTGCAGAAGTTGCTAGACCGATTCCTGTTGAAGAAGTTCTAGAGGGATCTACCGACATACATCATGATGATAGGAGTTCCGGTGAAAAAGGTGTTAATAGAAATAAATCGGTAAAACAATTGACTAAAGAAATCCTAAAATTAAAAAATACAATTAAGGAAAGGGAAGCTGAAATTGGTGATTGCCAGATGAAGATATTGTCTTTAGAAGAGCAACATCAAAAACAAAATGAATTTATCCAAGTTAACACGTCTTATGAGAATAAAATAAAGATTTTGTCCGATGAAAACCAGTTTTTAAAGGAGAAATTATCAAAAGAGGAAAAAACAGTAGAACAATTAGTACAGCTGAAACAGGCTAATGTAAAATTGGAAGATGAATTACGTAAAACACATCAAGATTATACTAACTCAATTTCAGCCCGAGATGCCAAAATACAAGAGCTCGAAAATATTTTATTGGAATATGACAAGCAAATATCAAACTATGTCAACTCATTACAGCAAAAGGATAAAGATATAGTAGAATATCTTAATCAAATTACCAAACTAAATGATGTATCACAGAAGTTGAAATCTACTATTGAAGTACTTGAAGAAGAAAAAGCAAAGGATCAAAATGCTGATTTAATAAAATCTTTAAATAAACAGATATCAGCTTACCAAAAAAAATTAAGTGATTGTGAGGAAAACCTCAAGATTCTGGAAGACGAAAAAGCACAGTTACTCTCAATCAAAACAGTATTAGAAAATAAAAATGTCAATATAGAAACAGAATTGAAAAAAGTTCAAGAACAATGCAATGAGAAACAAAACCTCATTAAAGAGCTTCAGTTAATTCAACAAAAACATGGGGAGGAAGTATCAAATGTTAAGCTACAAGCTAAAGAACGTGATGAAGAAATACATGAAATAAAGTTACAATTAAGAAAAGAATCAATTGAGAATGAAAAAATGCGTACTCTTTTAACCGAAAAAGATAAAAGTATTGAAGAATATTCAAATATGGTTGAAGACACCAAACAACAAATGAGTTTGCTTGCAAATGAGAAAGCACAGTTAACAGAGAACCTCACAACAGCAGAAATAAAAAATAAAGAATTGATAGAAAAACTGAAGAAGTTTGCTGCTAATATAAAGAAAAAGTCTACTATGTACACGGAATTGGAAACTCAATATCATAATATTGAAAAAGATCTTCAATCTAAAAACGAAGTTATGGAACAGTTTTCCATACAAATAGAGACTTTGCCTGTGTTGCAAGAAAAATTAAAGTATGCAGAAGACGAAATCAATCGATTACAAGCACAAAAAGTTGCTACTGAACAACAAAAATCGCAAGAAATCGCAGCTTTACATCAAAAATTAAATTCAGCATCAGGTGATATAAATAAATTGAACGATACTTTAAATAACGCATACAAAGATTTACATTTGGCTCAAGAGGACAATCAGAAGCTAAAAATACAAGTAGATTCCATAAGCAAGAAGTTGGTTGAACATGAAATTGAACAGAAAAACAATTTGAATTTATTAACTAAAATATCCACTTTAGAGACTGACATTGGCCAGAAAGAAAGTAAAATCATTGAATTATTACATAAACTTGAGAATCAAGACCAATTAATCACTCAGGTCCAATTTGGACAGGATGCGAAAGTACAAGAACGTGATTTATATATTGAGAATTTAGAAACAGAAATAGATAAATATAAAAGTCGTATCTGTCGCCTTGAAGAAAGTATATCTGTAATGGAAGACAGAAGACATTCCCTTGAACGTAAAGCTGATCAGTTAGATATTCAATTACAAGAAAAACAAAAAGCTTATTCGGAATATTCAAACCAAGAAGATGAACTAGTTAGTAGGTTGGCTGTTTTGATAGATCATGATAGAGTAGTAGAAAAACGACTACATGAAATAGAAATTGAGAATAGGCAACTACAGGATAAGATTCATCATGTTACTGAAGAAAATCAACATTTGCGTAAATCGTTAAGCGATATCCAAGAACATTATAATAATCTCATTGATACGGCGAGGAAAGCAGAGGCTGCTGAATCTGAGGTTATTAAATATCAGACTCAATTACGAGATTTAGAAAGTCAATATAAACGATTCATACAGGACCATCAAACAATGATAGCAAAAAAGAAGCAAGATATTGAAGATTTGGAATCAGAATTTAATACACAAATAGAAAATGCTATCAAAGAGAAGAAACTATTGAGCGAAAAGTATGAAAAGATTTGTGAGCATGTTACTCAACTAGAAAATAAACTATTGGAATATAGAAACGAAAATGAAACAGTTAAAATAAATATGGAAGAACTAAATAGATTGAATCAAGAACTTTTAGCAAAGTCTGTTACCTATGAACAATCTGTTGCACCCGATTATACTGAACTATACATTAGTGAAATAAATAAACTGAATTCAGTAATAAATAATAAGAACCAAGAAATTAATGAACTCAACGGAAAGTTACACACATTGCAGGTCAATAGTGTAGCTATTGTTTCGAATTTAGAAAGCAAAATAAGTGAATTAACTAATAAATTTCAACAATCAACTGAGGACGTCGATCAACTTATGAGAGAAATTTCCAACCTCAAGGAAACGGATAATCACCGACAACAGATGTTAGTTCATAAGGATGAACAAATCAAAGAATTGAAAGAGAGGAAAAAGGTCACTTTTGAAATGAATATTCCAAAAACTGAAGGTATGGTCATTTCGTCTACAATAGAAGCTTTAAATTTTGAAGAACAACCGAAATCGGATGTTTTTGAATTGGAATCACAAATTTTGACGGACCAACAACTTCAAAGTGAAAAACACGCTGATGCCATTGTGAGTGTACCTTTACAGAAAACTCATGACAGTAAAAATGTTGAGGAAGTAATAGTACCGAAAAAAGCCTATTTATGTTATAAAGAAGAAGCAAATGTTGAAGAATCTGATCCTTTTAATTCGGACGAAGGCTGGGGTCTTGGAGATACTGAAGATGTCGGAGACGTTGTACCAGATATAACTCAGCTTAATATGCAAATATGCCAACTTCAAAAAGATAATGAAACGTTGAAAAAAAATTTGGATACAACCAATATGAAGTTATTAAAGGTGATGAAAAAATTCAAGGAATTGAAATCTAACAATGAAACTTTAACAAACGAGTTGAAATTGTTAAGGCAACTATCTGAATCTTCCTTTTTAGATAGTGCTATAGAAGATGAACTGCGCAGAAATATTCAGGGGTTAGAGAAAAAGATAGAAGAACTTAACTCTGACATAGTGAAAGAAAAACGTGAGAAAGAATCTATCAAAAAACAAAATGAAGTTATTAATTCTGCAAACGAAAAATTAATGGAAATGAAAGAAAAACTTGATAGTGAAATAGAACTTTGGAAGTTTAGATTTAAAGAAGTCAATGATAAAATATCAACATTACATTGGAGTGCAGATAATAAAGATTCGCCTGATCATAAACGCAAAACAGACAGTGGAAATGATAAAGATGATGTAATAAAAGAAGAAATTGCTAAACTTGAAAAAGAAAATGATGAATTACAAGTATTGGTTGATCAATTGACTGCACAGAATAGAGAATTGACGAATATTCAGACTAATCTTGGACGTGAGATAACTAATCTAAATCAGCAATTACAAGAACATAAGTGTAGTAATTGCTTGAGTCTTGACAATCTCATAAGAGAATTAAAAAGTAAGAATAAAGAATTATTAAAAGAGATTGATGCGCGGAATGAAAGCATAAATGATTTAGAATTGCGATATAAAGAAGCAGAGGAACGTCTTGAAATTTCAAAAGTAAATAATGATAAAATATGTACCAAGTTTGAAACTGAAAAGAAGGAGATGGAAGAAAAATGTTTTGACCTACAAAATAAACTACAAATAGCAATAGAAAGGGAAAGTAACCACAAGATAAAAATAGAAACGCTTATATCTGAAATGAATATGTTGCAACTTAATTTACAAAATGCGGATGAAATCCACAAACAAAGCGAAAACATCATACTTGCCGAAAAATATGCCACAATGGAAGAACATTGTTCGCAATTACAACAGCGCTTAGAGGAAAGTATTAAGAAGTTAGTAGAAGCAGATACTGACAACCAGGAATTGAATAATAAATTATTAGAGTATAAAAAACAAATTAACGAACTTTGTTCCGAAATAAGTAATATCACTGTTGAAAAAGATGAATTAAAATTGACTATCGCCGAATTACGTTCTTCTCTGTCAAGTAAGGAATTACAAAATGAAAAATTAGATTATGAACAACAAATTTCAGAACTTAAATCCAAAGTTGAACATCTCAACACTGAAAATGATCAATTACTTTCAACTGTGGCAGAATTGCGTTCTTCCGTATCAAGTGCAGTTGACCAACGAGGGTTTGAAATAGCAGAGCTTTGGAAGCAGCATTTAGCACAAAGAGAAGCTGATTTTCTTAAAATGGAACAAGAACTTAGAGCGGAGTTGGCCGCTGCGGAGTCAAAATACGAACAGCTTCTAGATAATATTCAATCTTCTAGTCAAGAAGAAACAGATAAATTAATTATTATGGAACAGATAAATTCCTTACAAAGTAAATTACAAGACAAAGATGAACACTTACATACTCTTCAAGATAAATATGGTGAAGTTATTAATCAGCTGGATATATTACGTTCAGAACTGGAAGATGAAAAAGTAATGTATGAAAACAAAATTTTGTCCCAACAAGAAGAATACGAAAATATGTTACAAGCTTTAGAAATTAAAAATAAGGAACAAGAAGAAAAACATGAACTAGATTTGAAGAATGTTCAAAATGAGCTAGAAACAATTAAATCGCAGAATATTGAATCAAACCAAAATATTTATGACTTGAATAGAAAAATAGAAATCTTTGAAAAAACAATAACAGATTTGAATAATCAGTTGCGTATAAAAGAAAGTGAAGTTTATCAAAAATGTAATGAATACACTATTGCGTTGACACAAAGAAATGAAGAGTTCGAAAATGTTAGAAAGAACTTGGTTGAATATGAAAAAAAGATTGAAGATTTAAGTTTTGAAAAAGAATCTGAATTAGCTCTGCTTAGGTTAAAAATGCACGAAAATACAGAAAGTTATGACAAAACTAAAAAAGAACTGAAAGCTGAGCAATTGAGTTTAACTGAAGCTTTAAATGCAAAAATTGTAGAATGTACAAGTCTCAATAAACAGATAGTGGATTTAAATAAGGAACTAGCAGAAAATGCTTTAAAATCTACAGAAATGCAAACTGCTCTCGAAAATCAAGAATTAGAAATAGTGACATTGAAAGACGAAATATTAAGCTTGCAGCAAATTATGAAAAAAACCAGTAGTAAGATTGAAAAACATGTAACTTTTGCATCAGACACTAAGACGAGTGCTGACGGTGAACCGTCAGAAATATTAATGAATAGAGAATTATTGGATGCTGTCCCTAGAGCTGAGCTCGATTTAGCTTTGTATATGTTGCATCAAAGGGACGTACGCTGTGAGGAATTAACTATGGAACTTACGCAATTACTAGACGAAAGAGATACCCTTCAATTGCGGCTCTCTGACAGCTTGCGCTCTAACGAGGAATTGAAATCAAAATTAAAATCTTCAGACTTAGACATGTCAGACATAACATCAAGTGACAATCAAGAGAATGTATCGGAACTACCTAGTTTTAGCATAGAGAAAGAAGCAATGTTTGTCGATACACACCGGGGTCAGACTTCTCGGAGTAGCAGCATAAGTGACTTTGATCCTGATAAACCGAAGCTACAAGCTAAGTCAGTATCTCATTTATTATTTTTCTATAAAAAACCATACCAATAAATCCATTAGCAGCAGCTCTGTCTGTGAAATAGGGATCAAAGTTTAAATAGGAATTCAATTATTCTACCTGAGCAGACAAAATCGTCGACCTTGTATATTTGTCTGAAAGCAACTCTGTTTGTTTCAATTTCATTCCTAAACCGCTTAACGTTAAAACCTAGTGGTCGCCTATTCTTTGAAATTCATCCTTTTAGTTCTGCTTTCAAAGAGTATAGAATACTTCAACAGTCATTAGCTTTTTTAATCAAAGAGTCATTGGGACGCATTGTATGTGTTTTGTTTATTTTATTAATATAGTGCTTTTTCACTGCGATTAAAAATGTTACTTTTCTCAAATTTACACATAGCTAAAAGGAATAGCCATGTGAAGTGCCAGCTTATGGGAAATCAATAAATGTACTCAGACAAAAAAATGGGCATCAGGGCCCTATTTTACCAAGTTGACATAATGTAAGCTGACAATTGTCGAGTGACAAGTAATAACTGACAATTTTGGGAATTCTTTTCGGAAATACTTATAAAAAATACAGGCATTTAGTTACAGATTGGTGTCAATTCTGGCGTGCATCTCTAAACTTAAAACTAAATTAAAGGTCAGTCTCACCTTTTCATTCTGTATAGAGAAGGACAAGGATGCACTGTTGTCAAATTTAAGTTTAGGTTTAGAGAACCATGCCAGAATCGACATCATTACCTCATTTAAACAACAATTATATTGTGACAAGGGTATTTTTTTAATATCGACATATTTGACAAATTGTCAGTAATTCTTGGCATGACATCGAGGCTGTGTAACAATTGTAGTATTTTAGTTGTTAGTTACAAAATGTTTCTGTGCAAAGGCTTGAAAAGATGAGTTCTTTAAAGGAGAATTTATAAACAACGAATAAATTTCTCTTTTGATATCACTCATTTTGCGTTCAAAGACAAAATCCGCATAAGCAAAGTATCGAACATTTAGTTTATGAAATCGGTGCAGTAAATAGATCACCACACAACAAACCGTCAGCTTACATGTGTCAGTGACATAATTATATCGACTTAGTGAAATATAGTTTTCTCAGAAGTTTACCGTTATAAGGACTTCTTGAGCAAAACCACAGACAAATAAACATGCGCAATAAACGTTTTTGTATGCATTCTATGGTCGATGTTGAGCATGGAAGTTTGCCGGGGTATTAAACTATACTTTTATCCTGTATAGAGGAGTAAATTAAACACATTAATTCTTTGTAATGATGTTGTAATGAATGTGATTTATCGACTAGTTTATCTGATTTTGGGCCATGGCCGTAGCTAGGGGGGGGGGGGGGGCATTGTGGGGCAATCACAGAACACAGAAAGAGGTTAGAATGGCCTTGTGGGCGGGGTAGGCGCGTCACAGTTATGAGCAAATGCTCATAACTTGACCGTAACGTCCGATCGCGTCGTTTAGTTGCCCGCAACCGCTCAGTACGAGAGTATTGTGATTACCGCTTAAAATATGCTTTCGTGTGCCGTAATTACTTGCAAAGTAGGGAGTCAATCATCAAATCTACCTAAAGCAGGAATTTCTTTTCATCGGTAAATATAAAACTTCTTAGTTAGACTGATATTTTAGCAAAAATTCGAGATATTTTAATAAAACGATAAATCACATATATAATTCCACAAAAATATTCATTGCTGACAAAGTACGCTCGCTATTCTTTCTACGACATTCAAAACACGTAATGTAGTACGATCGAGCAAGAATGACGCGTGGATCACAGAGCGCTGCACGTGGCCGCACGCAGTACAAGGTCATTGCACCTACTTTAGTGGTGTCTTGCGTCGTACATTTTACATTTTCGATAGATTTTATCGACTGAATTTTAGCACCTAATAATGGAATTAAAGTAACTTTTAGAAATAAATAAAAGCTGATTGTGAATTTTTATCATACTTAATATTATAAAGGCGAAAGTTTGTGAGTGTGTATGTTTGTTACTTCTTCACGTCTAAACGGCTGGAGCGTTTTTAATAAAATTTGGTATGTAGTTAGCTGACACCCTAGATTAACACATACGGTACGTTGAACTGTGGGAAAATATCCCTAATAAACCGCAGGTAACACCGCAGGTCACAGCTAGTACAATATAATATAAAGCTGAAGAGTTTGCTTATAGTCCAGTCAAAATAGACATTTGACTTAGGAATAATTCGCATAGAGCTGAAAATTGGCAGAAACGTTAAATACATCATTATAAAAAATTACAAAAATCCCCTTCGATCCTACTTATGCAAAAAAAATTTCAACTCAAAACTTACAAAATTATGGTTTTTCCACTTTTCTCGAAAACGGTAAGTTTTGTCGTGAAAGTAGGTCAGACAAAAGTTGTAGACCATACAATTCTCTACAAAAATGGTCTAGTCACTTTTTCTCTCACGACTCACCATTCGTGAGATATCGCGGTTTTAATAATTAGAAAATTCTTTTTTACGTAATATGCACACATTTCTGCACCACCTCTGAGGTAATGTACTTGGCGGATTCAAAGTTGAAAAAAATCCGACATGTACATTGCCTCATAGGTGGTGCAGAAATGTGGTGGAACAAAAATCCCATTCGATCCTACTTCTGCAGAAAAAATATTCAAGGTCAAACGTACACAATTATGGTTTTTTTCATTTTTCTCGAAAACGGTTAGTTTTGTCGTGAAAATAGGTTAGACAAAAGTTGTAGACCATACAATTCTCCACAAAAAGGGACTAGTCACTTTTTCTCTCACGACTCACCATTCGTGAGATATCGCGGTTTTAATAATTAGAAAATTCTTTTTTACGTAATATGCACACATTTCTGCACCACCTCTACTATGTACTTGGCGGATTTTTTTTCAAAGTGGTTTCCCCAGTAGGTATACTCCACGATGTATTGTAATAAAGAAAGTTTGAGTCAGATCGTATCCTATTGATTGATAGAATGATTATATTGCTGATGATCAAATTTGTTTTCTTCTAAATGTTATTATATTAGATAATTGTCTAATTCTTCTCCGACAATTATGTCTTCGTCTTCATTTTCTTCTTCTTGCAGAATTTCTATTCACTGTTCTAAGAAAAGGGATGCAACAATTATCTCTTCATTAATATCATAATTATTTTCATCTGTTGTATTTTTTCATAATTGGAGCAAGTCTGACGCTGACAATTGATGCATACTGGCGAAACAAATAATCCCACTTTATGACAGCCATAATTCTTACTTAAATCAGTCTTGCATTTACAAAAAATAGGATTAAGCAGTTTTTCTGCAGCAGGCGGGAATAGAGTTCGAATTGGCTCCAAATAATTATCTGTTAATTTCCTTCTGGGTCCTCTAGATCATTGCCTAGCCACACTTGAACTAGATAATACACACAATACAAGTGTTGAAAGGCAGAAGCAGATGTTGGAGGCAGACAATACCACTGTACTGTTTTACTGTTCCATGCAGATTTATATCCCATAGTAGGCCTCAGAAAGATATTATAACAGTTATTGTGGTACTTAGCTTTAGCAGCAACTAAGTTATACTCAATATGTAAAATATGAATTATCTAATTATTAAAACAGCGATATCTCACGAATGGTGTGTCGTGAGAGAAAAAGTGACTGGACCAGTTTTGTAGAGAATTGTATGATCTTCAACTTTTGTCAGATCTATTTTGACGATAACACTTACCGTTTTCGAGAAAAATGGAAAGAATCATAATTTTGTACGTTTTGAGTTGAATTTTTTTTTGCATAAGTAGGATCGAAGGGCCGAAGCCGACTCTAGCTGCAGCCCTGGTTCGGGCCTGTCCACATCTCCACATCACCACGACGTCAGCGTAAAACGGTACTGGTAACGTTGCAACGGTGCGTTGACATAACGTGCAAACCTTTAGCACGAATCATTATCGAAATCGATCTATACGTAAGTCAAACGTGTACTGATTTTTAGTTCTCGTTACACCCGTCGTGGCGCTGCTGGCCAAGTCTCCATACAAAGTTTGACAATGACATTTCGCACTCTCAAACGTAACTAGGGTTACCATCCGTCCGGAATTGGTCCGGACTTGTCCGGCCTTTTAACATATAGTCCGGACTTTGTCCGGATTTTTTAAACAACATTGAATATGAATAATAAAAGTTCATATTTATTTAAATACCATACCATTGTAACCAAGTAAGTAATGGTACCATTATGTGAATAGACTAGACTTTTTTCGAAATGTCAGGATTTTTGTCAGGTAGGCAGGTAACCTTAAACGTAACGAATTCGATATTGGTTTTTGCTAAGGGTACTTGTCGTGAATTTGCAAGTTATGTCAACGCACCATTCCACGTTGAGGACGCCGTGACGTGGAGATGTGGATAGGCACATACGCAGAAGTTTGCTGCCTACAATGAATGTCTTATCTTTAGGTTATCAGAGTTACGCAGCGTGAAACACAGTCGTGATGTGCGATTCCGACAAGAGAGTGAGCAACGTCAAATGGACTTGCGGCTGTTGCAGCGAGACGTGGCCAATCTACCGCAAGAAGCTGTCGATCAACTTGCACAAGCTCACCACACACTATGTAAATATCGTCATCACCATCAGCCTAATAATGTCCCCACTGCTGGGACACATACCTTCTCTATGGATGGAATAGGGAGTGCGGCTTTGTGCTGGAGCCTGCAGTTGCAGCCGGGACAAACGACTTAATGTGCCTTCCGAACCACGGAGGAGCTCGAGATAATAAGTTTTTGGTCACCCATCTAATGACCGACCATTGCGAAAATTGCTTAACTTCCACGATCGCAGACCGAACACGCCAACCACCAGCAACATCGGGGCTCCTCTATTTAAATATGGCAGTTTGTTTATAAACTTGTTTAGGGTTCTGTTCTGTAACACAGAAGAAAAAAAATCAGATCTTTTAGCATCACTATGTTGACCGCCTTTATTTCAGCTACGCATGGATGTATCAAGCTGAATCTATACAAGGGTGTAAGGGGTTCTTAATATACCTGCAAGAACCCAAGCCAACCTCACCTTCACGTGGTGCACCCTGTTGACCAACAGACGAGGCTCTGGCAAACCGACCGATGGCGGTATAACCATCTAACGACGTAGGGGAGGAAAATCTCATTGGTGACGGGCAGCAGCGTCATCAGTGAAATAACCTACGTTCTGCGATCGCCAACCCGCCTGCCCAGCGTGGCGATTATGGGCAATACCTTTGAATGCACACAAACAAAAAGCCACGGCCCCCAGTTCCCGTTGGCCCCGCTATTCCTGGTCACGGTGGCGACCACGGTAACGGCGGGGCGGGGGGTGCGAAGAATCTCCGGGCTACGGGAGGCCACCACAATAGATTGACCCTGGCGACGTACAACGGACGCACGCTACGGCTTGACTCGCATCTGGCGCAACTCGAGGTGGAACTTGGGAAGATTAGATGGCACATTTTAGGGTTAAGTGAAGTCCGAAGAGAGGGTCCTCCCCCTCCATAACGCTCGAATCGGGCCACCTAATGTACTTCCGCGGGGGAGACCAACAGTCCCAAGGTGGCGTTGGGTTTTTGGTGAATAAGTCCCTTGCCGATAACGTTGTGGAAATGTCCAGCGTGTCGAACAGGGTAGTGTACCTTATTATAAAGCTCACCGAGAGGTAAAGCCTCAAAGTGGTGCAAGTGTACGCACCGACCTCGACACACTCGGACGACGAAGTGGAGGATATGTTCGATGATATATCGAGGGCCCTCCACTCCACTACTAAGACCCACTACAACGTTGTTATGGGGGACTTCAACGCTAAAGTGGGAGTACAGAATTGCAGCGAATTGGTAGTAGGATCCCATGGATTTGGAAGCAGAAATCATAGGGGGCAAATGCTCGTCAACTTCCTCGAACGGGAGGGGCTCTTCTTGATGAACTCTTTCTTCAAGAAACAGCCCCAAAGGAAGTGGACGTGGCAAAGCCCCGACACTATGACTAAAAATGAGATCGATTTCATCATGACGGACAAGAGGTACATATTCAGAGACGTCTCAGTGATCAACAGGTTCAATACCGGTAGTGATCACCGACTCGTCCGGGGCTCTTTGAATATCAACTTTAAGGCCGAGCGCGTCCGTTTGATGAAATCCAGGCTCCAACCTACTCTGCTCCAATCTATAACAGGGTCTGAAACGTTCCAGTCAAATCTGGAGAACCGATTTGCTGCCGTGGAAACCACAACAGACGTAAACCAAAACCTCGAAAATGTGGTTCGGATCCTCAGGGAACAGGGTACGAGATTATGTGCAACGCAGCGTAAGGGCAGGAAGTCAAAGCTTTCGGAAGAGACTTTAGGGCTAATGAAGGAACGACGTGAAAATCCACCCGTCACTTCGTCGGCAAAGCGGACTCTAAACCAAGAGATCAGTAAGCACGTACGACACGACCTCCGGTGCTTCAATACTCTCTCGATCGAGAGAGCGATCGAGCAGAATCGAGGATCCAAAGTGTTCGTACAATCTCTTGGAAGAAGCCATCTGACGAAGTTGACCACAGCAAGTGGGGAAGTTGTTGCTTCAAAGCCGGCAGTCCTTTCGGAAGTGGAAGACTTCTACAGCCAGTTGTACGCATCACATGCATCTCGACCCGATCCCGGAAATGAAGATTCTAGAGCCACATTAACACGCCACTTCACCGAAGACCTGCCAGAAGTCAGTATTGGCGAAATCGAAAATGCTCTTGGACAGCTTAAAAATGGAAAAGCCCCTGGAGAGGATGGTGTTTCAACAGAACTCTTAAAGGCTGGAGGTAAACCCGTACTGAGGGAGCTCCAAAAGCTTTTCAACACTGTCCTGTTCGAAGGGAGAACTCCGGAGGCGTGGAGTAGGAGTGTGGTTGTCTTGTTCTTTAAAAAGGGGGACAAGACCCAACTTAAGAACTATCGACCCATATCCCTTCTAAGCCACATCTATAAGCTGTTCTCAAGAGTGATCGCGAACCGTCTTGCGCGAAGACTTGATGACTTCCAACCACCGGAACAGGCTGGGTTTCGGAGCGGATACGGCACCATAGACCACATTCACACAGTGCGGCAGATTATACAGAAGACTGAAGAGTACAATCAGCCCCTGTGCCTAGCATTTGTGGACTATGAGAAGGCCTTTGACTCGATTGAAATCTGGTCTGTTCTGGAGTCCCTGCAGCGTTGCCAAGTCGACTGGCGATACATCCAAGTGATTAGATGTCTGTACGAAGCCGCCACCATGTCTGTCCAAGTACAGAATCAGCAAACAAGTCCCATACCATTGCATCGTGGAGTGAGACAAGGGGACGTTATTTCCCCGAAATTGTTCACTAATGCAATGGAGGATATGTTCAAGACGCTGAACTGGAAAGGACGTGGCATCAACATAAATGGCGAACGCATCTCTCACTTGCGATTTGCAGACGACATCGTCATCATGGCAGAAACCCTGCAGGGCCTACAACAGATGCTGAATGACCTGGCTGACTCTTCTATACGCATCGGCCTACGGATGAACTTGGATAAAACCAAGGTCATGTTCAATGAACATGTTCTACCGGAACCGATTGCAATACACGGTGCCGTTCTCGAAGTTGTTCAAAAATATGTGTACCTCGGGCAGACATTGCAGTTAGGTAGAAACAACTTTGAGGACGAGGTGAATAGAAGAATTCAGCTAGGTTGGGCAGCGTTTGGGAAGTTACGTCAAGTCCTGACATCGTCGATCCCACAGTGTCTAAAGACGAAAGTCTTCAATCAGTGCGTCCTACCTGTGATGACATACGGAGCCGAGACGTGGACACTGACGGTACGGCTGGTCCACAGGTTCAAAGTCGCTCAACGCGCTATGGAAAGGGCTATGCTCGGAGTTTCTCTGAAGGATCGCATCAGAAATGAGGTAATCCGGCAGAGAACCAGAGTTATCGACATAGCCCACCGGATTAGCAAGTTGAAGTGGCAGTGGGCTGGCCATATTTGTCGAAGAACCGATAACCGTTGGGGTAGACGAGTTCTGGAGTGGAGACCGCGTCTAGGCAAACGTAGTGTAGGACGTCCTCAGGCGCGATGGAGTGACGATTTGCGCAGGAGCTGGATGCGTGTAGCCCAAGATCGATTTAAGTGGCGTGCATTTGGAGAGGCCTATGTCCAGCAGTGGACTAAGATAGGCTGTTGATGATTGATGATGATGAATCTATACATATAATAAAATGGTAGGAAAGTCAAAACTGTACATTGAATATTATTTTAAAGAATACTTGTGCTGTGATCTACAGTCGACACCGAAGCCAAAAATATAGTTTCTTGTCTGTTTTTCTGTATGTATGTCCGGGATAAACTCAAAAAGTACTGCATGGATTTACTTCAAATTTGGCACGAATATTATCAAGAAGTTGGGTCAACATATAGGCTATAATATTATAATGCTATCACCTACGGGGAACGAACAGTGAATCCTTTTAGGGTCAAAAGGTCGCGGGCGGCCGCTAGTATCAAATATTCAGACAGTTAAATCCAGTGAAGTAATGAAAGAATAAAACTCGTCAGTCACAGCAATAAAAAAATACGGGCGTGTATGCTCAGTTGATGCCACATATTTTGACGCTTGCAAGAGAATAAAAACCTTTAATAATATGAAGGGTTGATCTGGGATCATGTTTGGCTAGAACTGATGACTTGTAACACAAGCAAAGGAATAAATCCGAAAACTTAAATCTGTAGTTAATATCTCTTTTTGCGATTAAAGCTTGTTTTCAATTGTCACTCCGGGAGTGCCGACAGAAGGGTAAACTCAAATCTCAAGTGAAAAAATCGTTTTCTCCATCCCAGAGAGTTTTTTCCCATCTCAAAAATTCCCAACACGCCTAAAGAAGTTTTCACTTCAATAACACGATTCCTATGATGAACGAAATATTTAGATACGTACAAAAATCGGAACCCTCAGTGAGCTAGTCTTACTCACGCTTTAAAGAGTTGAATATTATTTACTCAATTGTAAGCAGACAAAAAAATCTATTATGCCTTTTAAACGGGGATCGACGTATAATCAAACGTATATTTACATTTAAATAGAAAGTCTAGTTCAACTGGCTAAATCATGATATACAACCATATAATGAATTTATCGGACGGACCCTAAAATGAATACTCTATTACCATGATAGCCTGCGCATACGGGGGACTTTTGTCCGTTGAATCATGAAAAAAATGACCGCCAAACTTTTCATGGACTCTACGCACACGCGCTGAAAACATTTGTTGCTCGAAAATTTTGAAAAGCGCACGCTATGGAAGTAAATATTCTCAGATTACGTTACGTTGTCATGAATATGAGGTGTAAGGAAAAGAGAAGACTTTTTAAAGGAGAATACTGGGTCCAGGGGGCTATTCGTCTAACGGAAATGCTATAGAAAACGCTAACGCTTTCGATTTCATTTTGTTATTTCTGACCGCCGAAGGTTTTCAAATACCTCACGCTCATTTTATTTAATATTGTTATTACCAATGCAAAAGAAAAAAAAGAGCGCGAGGTATTTGAAAACCTCAGGCGGCTAGAAATAACAAAATGAAATCGTAAGCGTTAGCGTTTTCCATAGCATTTCCGTTAGGCGAATGGCCCCCAGCTCCTTAAATCGAATCAAGCGTGCAGTGCGGACTATATTTCGTTGTGCTTTGCTGCGCCTAGTCACATGAGTTCTACGGTATTTTTTTCGGAGACTGTCGCGGTCTTTTGTCCTACCGGGGGCCAAATGCTTAACGGAATTTTCTATTGCTATATCTATCGCTAACGATTTTATTTTGTTATTTCTGCCCGCCGAAGGATTTCAAATCGTTTTCTTTAATATTGTTATTACCAATGCTAAAGAAAAAAGAGCACAAGGCATTTGAAAACCTTCGGCGGTCAGAAATAACAATATGAAATCGTAAGCGATAGCGATACCCTTAGCAATCACGCCTTTCAGTACCCTCGGCTGTTCGGGGGAGTTTTAATTCCTCGTGTGCGATATTCGATGCAGTTATAAGCGGTCTATTTTGGCGGAAAAAAGGCTGCGGACAAAAGTCACTCGTGTGCGCAGGCCTTTGCTTATACTTTTATGTAATGTTTACTGCGTCATTAAATATATTTCCTTTTATTTTTCAATTTCAGCACGCGATTCGCAAAGTACTTCAACGGTGTTACTAAACTGGTTACGAGGTAAAAGCACGCCCAAAGTTGTACACATGTGAGTTTGACCGAAACTCGTTACGATCGTCAGGATAAATCAGGAATTGAAAATATGTAAATCAATTACTTACATATGTATCGTACCTTGAATTATAATTTTAATGAATTTACTCTTCTTACTGTTTTAATATGTTTATTGTTAGACTGTGACTTTGCATTTATGTGTCAAAAATTTCCGCCACTACCTACCCAGTAATATGACACAATCGTAAAATGTTTGAGAGAACATTCTTTTTATGAATTGTGCAGTTAAACGAACTTACCAAAGATTATCAATTTTATAGGGCTCGTCTTAATGTCAATAAAGTAAGTCTTCGAGCCTTAAAGTACCATTGATTTTATTATTATTCTTCTGAAGGAATAGTCGGTATTCTATGTGACATAAAATTTATGTTTTATAATCTTTATATTGTGCACTGTTGTCATTACTTTCTAATTGATTTTCTTGTTTAACCATACTACGAACAAAATATAAAATATCAGTATACCTAACTACAACAAGCTGCGAGTGAAAAAGAGACCTAGCTGACCTTGTAGAACTAGGATTATATTTATGTTCTGTACCAAGTGTGGCCTTAACATAACTAAACCGATCTAAGTTTATTGGTATGATTTGGTAAGTGCGATCGAAACGACATTTACGATGCATTCCTATTTCTTTTTAAATAATATCTGTGTTATTTCCAGTATCTATAATAATCGGTGGTATTATTCAATTAGTAATAGCTAATGGTATTAATCTATGTAAAGTTTGTATGGAATTATGTACATTTGCGACCAATAAAATCATGCCAACGTCAAAGTTTCAAATATGATATGCTCTTTACTGATTTTGTATTATTTTAGAATTCATGATTAGTTACACATTTGAATACCTTTGTTATGTATCTGTATGTAAAAACATGATGTTGCAAAATTGATGGCCAGATTTTCTTGTCCGCATGTGTAATATTTTATTAATAAGTGAAGATTCAGTTTATTATAACTTTTGTTGAGATTTTTGAAATCATTATGCTTTTTAATTAAAATGTGCCTTCGCCGATTTATTAACAGCAAACGTCGCCTATTTCCTTATACGACGCGACAGGTCGGTATTAAAATTTAATTTGTATAATTTTATGTATATAGCGGATTCAGAGTAAGGATCTCTTGTAAATTACCATTGTAAATTTGTTTTTGAATAAACGTTATCTCATCATGTTAACTACTACTTACTTTTCTTGTTAAGCCACCTCGTCCATAGTTAAACGTCAGTACGTAGATCATGTCAGGTAAATGAACAGAAAAATACCATAATTTTGAAAGGAATTTATTGTTTCTTTTTAAGTATTTACATCTAACTTCTCAATCATCTAACGATCCGAAAGACACTTAAATTAGGTATTTTAATAATCACATATAAAAACAATTTTATGCATTTCCGCTTGTCATAATATATTGGAATCCTGCTTCTTATAATTTCTCATACTTAGTACAGTGCAATGAATAGCGAAGATCACTTTTATTTTGAGCTAAATTGCTCTTACTTCATACATCACAGGAAAACACTTTCCCTCAACTCCTAGTACACTACTTCATAACGAAAGTACCTAAATTTCCTACAAAACTATATCAAAAAGCCAGTCCGAAGCCAGATAACAAGCAATAATTAATAAAACTAACTTTGTAATGCGTATATTTTCCCACATAATTTTACATACAACTTAAGTATTATAAATGTCTATTTTGTTTAATGTCAACTTTTATGATCCAACAACATAATTCAAGCGCTGGCGTATTCCACAACCAAAACAATATGAAACTTAAACAATATACAGGAATATGAATATATTTATTCGGAATATAATTTCTGCTCTCAAAGGTATTAGTTGAAGATATGCCTTTCAAGCTATATTATTTTATTGCTAGACTTTTACAAAAAAGAAATACTTTAATAGTAGTGTTACTTATGGCACCACATGCTTATAGCATATTTTATATTTAGTTTTACAATATGTACATTATATATTTATCTACATATTTCGCATATAGCTTACTGTTTAGGAAAACAGGTATGTCAGGGAGGAAAATATTGCACTTTACACTCTCCTACAATTTATCACCTGTTTTCCTATGGAACTAGTGGAAGACGTCAGAGTGATTCCTTGTTAAACTTAATAATTAATCAACTAAAACTTAACTCGGTGTTTGAAAATATAGAAAACTTTATATATACAGAAATTACAGTTAGGTATCATTACCTACCTGTTTAATCAAACTTACAAATATTACAGTATTACTTATACTTGATGAAATTTATCACAATTTAATAGTAATCATGAATTTGATTGATTAATTAGTCATTGGAAATACTATTAAGTACAAAATAATATAATAAGAACTGTTATACTGACTATTGCATTACGATTATTTCCAATTTTTGCATAAATAGGAACAAAGTTCTGTTTTAAATGACTAATTAATTTAATACTATCCTAAACACTTATAGATGATTCCTAAATCACATGTTTTTTTTTTAGTTTTTCCTAACATCCTTAATTTATAATCTTTACATAGTAACTCCTAAGTTAACATATTATGACTGGAAGTGACTATGATACGAAGTTTGATAACTTTTCAATTCTATCACAATAAAAGTTCATTGTTGGTATTTCTCATCAAACAGGAACAAGATTATAAATTTATAATTAAATCCCTTATAAATTATTTAAGAGAAGCATATAGTTTGAAAATATACAGCCCTTTGTCTAAGTATACTATTTTAACATATTTAATTATATAGATTTGAAGAGAGGTGTAGTAACTTTGAACGCAAATATTATAGTCAACTCTGTAGTAGTCTATAAATATAATAACAAGTGAAATAATATTAGTTTTTACATATTATAAAGCGTAATTTATTGCCTTCCCCCGAAATAGACGAAACCTGATGGAAATTGTATTTTATAATACAAACTTGGATTTACGAAAGACGAAACAGTGTATTTTGTTATTAATAAATTTTGAACAGATTTTTCGAATCTGAGTGATTATTTATCTATTAAAATAATTGAACTCTATAAATTCATTGTTTATCAATATTTTCTTACTCATATGTATTTTTAGTAATTAGAAATTTAATTACACGTTGACAAACAATACTATACTATAATAATATCTATAAATAATGATAGGTTTCTGAAGTAGTAAATCAGTCATCATTGAAATTATGATATTGCGAAATAAAAAGTTAGCTCAACTTTGGTCCCATTCGATTACAATGTTTATGTAATGACTATGTGTAACAGCTATTAATATTAATGGTGGATAGCGCCAAGTGAAATGGAAGCTTATGCCTTAAAAATACAGAGGTAGATTGTAATTTCTAGAACCTTTTATATCTGAAACGTGTAATCATTGCTGTCCTAGTTTTTAGTATCAATATAGCTATATGGTTCGGCCATATAACAAGATGTGCTCAGTAACTGTTGAACGCATGTAATTAACTGTCAAATAACTAAAGCTGTCTCAGTCGTGGAGTCTCGACACGTAGAATAGAGCTCGCGTCATAATCAACGCGCACTTAACCTATACAACATAAAGTAAGTAGGCACCTACGTTAGACACATGCCATTGTCAGTCTTGGTATCAGTCCTCCATCATCGTGGATGCACGCACGTCTTAGTTTAAAGTATTTTCGTACTAACGCACCATGTTTAAAGCAATATAGTTAGTGGTCACTGCGCACGGCGGCGTCGCCTCAGAAGTGCACGTCTCTGACGTCGGTGGGCGTAGCGGCGTTACTGTGCGCCTTGTCCTGGCTGGGAGGGGGGGTCCAACCCGCTGCCTCCCTGCTCTGGCCGTTTGGGATTGAGATGGACCTCTCCTCTATCATGTTGTCGACCATCGCTTCGATTTGTTCCAAGCATGTCTGGAGACAGTCCTGCCGCAAAAAAAAAATTACAATGTATTCACTTTCAATGAAATCCTGTTTGTAAGCAGTTATAAGCCTGCTCTCATGATACTTTTTGTGGTTAAAAAATAGCCTTACCAAATCAATCCGTGTCAATTCTTGCAAGAGAACCAAGTGGCCGTCTAAGCTTAGACCCCGCAGTGCTGCCGCGATACTGCAAGCAGCTAGCGAGCTCGCAGAGTACAACGTGAAGTGGTAATCTATAACAAAGAAAGTACACACTGATAAGTAAAATAGTAACAGCATTTTCTATAGTCGGAAGTTTCCCACGCTCCCTCATAATTTGTGTTAGAACGACGCAAGAAGTGTTTTTGCATTTCTTACTTTGAGAAATTGTTAAGTTCGCGAGGATAGTTTTCTCACAGGAATGGATTTTACATTACCTACCTATCCAGCAGTTATCAAAACCAGCAATGCAACGATTTTAAATAAAGACTGATTACGTTCCTATTTGAAAGATGATGTGAACTTTCTCACTATAACTGTACCTATAATTGGTATACATATTATTTTTATTATAATTATAAACATATTTACACAAACATTAATAACAAGCGTTTTGTGGCGATATATATAATGCAGATATTAGAAGAGAGCGGAGGTCCCTTTCGTAAAGAAATGTTCTTTCTCCCTCGCGCAGATTGTCAATCCCTCCCCGGAGAGTTTAGCCTCAAAGGAGCCGGCAATCCAAGCCCTCACGACCGCATTCCACAACCTGCGCCCGCGCGGTCGATTCACTCGAATATTTCTCACGGGCTTACTTTGGCGAAACCATTATTTGTATGTATGCTGCCATGAACCAATTTGGGCTTGTCTCATGTTAAGATAATTTGTTTTTCGAGTGAAATGTGTTTTATGATAATTAAATTAGAATTGTAAATTACACGACATAAATATAGAATTCATGAATTTAAAGTAAAATGTTTGTTGACAACATAAAGTTATTCGACAAAAATGACTTGTTTTTGTAATTATTACATATAAGAGGCATCATCTAAGTTAAAAGGGTTAAATTGCAGGGTGTGCAAATGTTAGTAATATTATTTGAGATGCATTTGTTATTTGGGAAGAGCTTTGCTTTAATAAAAAATAAACTTGAGAATAAAAACAACATATTGTAAAGTTCTCCCCATTTTTTTTTACCTTTTTTTTTAAAAATAAAGAGTAATCAAGCACGGATCCGTCACCCTCATTTATAATAACTTTTTAGATAACATCTTGCATCGCATTGAAAATTGTTACCAAACGGCAACTTTACAAATTTTTACATTTTATCAGTCGTATTTAATGAACATGTGATAACTTAGCAGGAAAGTGAGCGGTTTGGTGGCCTTGCTGATACATCTAATCTAATACCTAAGCTTATTCATATAAAAATATTACTCAAAACAATCGTCTTAAATACAAAATTAACCAAAGTAGGTTGGTAGGTACCTATCTACATAAGTACATCACATGGTAATGAAAGGAAGAAGTCGAAGTTCTCACGAATTCACATGAATAAACGAGAGACTGGAAAATCATGAATACCTTCCTACCAAACAAACGCGAGGACTCGCACAATGGGAATGCGGCCTTCAGGGGCCTTTCATTCATCATTAAGTAGACTCCTTTATACCGACCAACAACGTATGGATATCGAACACTTCCAGTTCATTAAAAAGATTTATTTAGTTTTTTTATGCGTATGTCGGCATACCTACCTGAGACCGAGATAAAAGCAACGGGCAGAGGATGAGCAAAAGGAATGAGATGAACAACTAAAGCGGCCTGCTCTTTTCAGATCATTTGCATAATCTGATGCTAATCAAACAGCGCGGCCTACCGCCTCGGCGGCAGGGCAGTACAGCGCTTCGTTGACCTGCATTTGGGCCTCCGCCGCACGTCCGCATTCATATTGTTTCTCCACTGTCTTATCAGAGTAGGAAGCCGAACAATTACGGATGCAACGGACGTACAACCTTATTGATTTATTATTATATACTCTTTATTGCATCATAAAGTTAAAACATATAATAAAATACATAGTAAGCAAATTTACCTTGATCTAACACCGTTCTCAAATGTTTTGTACCTTATTATATAAAAAGGACGACAACCTTGTTTTCCTTTTCACTTAAACTAATTTTTGAACAGGGAAGAAGTTAAGTTACAAAAAAGTTTATTATTCATTATAAGCGCACCATCTTTCATGTTCTAATAATTTGTAGTAAAGTTAACAGCTGTTGTAAAACGGATGGGCGCGCGGCCCCCTTACATTGTTAAGCAGGTACCGGCCAGCAGCCATAGCACCAGCAGCGGTGACATAATGGTTTAGTTGCCCTTGAACATGAAGTGGATGCGGTAACAGACGCCGGCTATACGGGCGTCCGTCCTAGCTAAGTCTATTCGCGAGGTGAATGCTCTTGCGAGGCCGCTCGGTAGGTGCCGAGCGATGGCGGCGGCGGCGCGGGCGGTGCCACGGAGCGCTCACCGGAACAAACACCCGCTCCGCGGCCCCCGCTCAACAATCGCTCACATGAGAAACAGCCGGGCCCGATAAGATACCTGCCCTCACGCAATGCCGATTGCAGATGCCGTGCCGACTGCTTTCCGATCTGTTTGAATTCACGGGCTTCTAAAGTCAATCTAATAGTTGCCATAGTACGGTCTCGTTGTTGGATGCGCTAATAAAATGTACAGAAAAACATAAATAACCTATAGACTTCTCCCAGACATGTCAGTTTAAAATAAACCCATTGCAAATTTAATATTCAGACGAATTATTATTCCAGAGAGTAAATTGTGCCATTCAAATAATGATACATAATGCTGGCTTGCTCGACACCGCGAAACGTACGCCAATCGCGCCGCCCGTCTACGAGTTCGTCGCTTTAGGGCAATCGTTATTCATACTTTCTTTGTATCATCAAAATTGAAAAGGAGATCGTTGATGATTCGTTAATTTCGTGTTTATTCTTTTATTCTAGTCACAGACTTGTGTAAAACGATATACGAGTGAAAAGAGCTGGAGCGTGAACTTCTCGAGTGAAAAAAACAAGACAGCGGCGGCGAACAACAAAAACCGTTGCACAAAAACATATGATCCCATGAGGGAGGAGGGGCGGGACGGGTCTGGAGGACGGGGGAGGGGAGGGGGAGTCCTGAGGCGTGCTGGAATGCGCTCGGGCGAGCCGCGTGGGAGGCACCGCCGCCGCGGGCGCTCGCCAGGCCGCCACACACCGCCACCGCCCCAGCCCTCGCCTGTAAACAAACCTATTCTCATCTCGTTGCGGCTCAAGCCACGGCCACACTGATGCTGCCCGCCTGATACTTTGCCATTCCGAGAACGCCAACTGCCATAAACTACCTATTATAACTTTTCGCCTTATCGCATGAGGTTGAGGGTACAAAAGGACGCCGATCATACAAAAAATATGCTGATCTGCAATTTGAGACTAAATGCCACGATAACGACGACATTAATAAAAGGAACCGTCATGTTATCAAAAATATATAATGTTTAAAAACAAAACACCTAATAAAAAGAAAACAGTTACAAAAGTAAGAAGTCTGGGTGAAGAGCAGTATTTAACTAGCTGAAATAAAATTACGCTACTCTATATTTGTTTCTTAAGTTTTCACTCATTAAATAAAATAAGTTTCAACGGGTTAGATGCACTGATTTTATTTATTTATTGACGTTTCGCATCCTTTCTTTTGCGTCGCCAGAATAAGGCTTTTTTTATTTACTTTGCCGACATGCATTAGGGCGACCAAACTATTACAATAGATTTGATAAACCACAGAATAGATTTGATAAACCACAGATCCTTTCAATTGAAAAACGATTCATTCCTAGTTGAAACTTGTTTTATTTACGCTACTCTATAAAAACTGAAAACAGAATTAAGAACACAATCACTATCATCAATAAATACATAAAAACGGTATAGGCGGTGGACCTTCCACTTAAATAACATAATCTTACTGTTTTAGCCTGTGCTGTACCGAACAGACATTCGTTTTTATTGTTAAGAAATACCAAGGTTCTGTGACATGACAGCGGTGGCGATCGCACCATGCTAGCGAGACAGCAAACGGTCGTCGTGACATAACGTAGTATCTACACGCTAATTACTTTCTGCTACAAACAATAACGTGGAACTACTGTACATGTACTGTATAAAACCGACTAAGTGCGAGTTGCGCGCGAATGGTTCCGTTCCATTATCATCATGTGCATAGTTATGTGTATATATATATTTCACTTCATGAATCATCTCTGATATGTTTATGCTAGATCAGTGGTTCTCAAACTTTTTAAATGACGGAACCCTTTTGGGAAGCAAAATACTTGATGGAACCCTACAATAAAACAATTATTTTTATAAGTGTATTCTATATTAATCAGCATAATAAAAGTACAATGTATCCGTTACTAATTATTATTTACTTCACCACTTGGTAAGGACAATAATAGAAAACATTAAAAAAGAAAAAATCTAACTAGTGGGAGGTATGAAACTGTTTTTTATTTTTCATCAATTGCTTGATATCAGGTTTGATGGAAGAAAGTTGGAGTCTCATATCAGCTTCGGCGTCCAGTCTATTGCGATATTTTGTTTTCGTGGCTGCGTAGGTAGAGAATCCTGTTTCGCACAAATATGTAGTTGGGAACGGGAGAAGAATATCCAGAGCCATTTGGCCAAGCATTGCATATTCATCTTGGATTCTGCACCAAAAATCATTAAGAGGCGTCGTTTTGAACAATGACTCCATACTTGTGTCTGATGACATTTCTAAAAGAGATTCATATATCTCATTTGACATGTTTTCAGGCTTTTCCAAGTTGGGTAAAAAAGGATTATGAATCCAGGAGTTCACTTTAATTTTTGTATTGTGTTCTTCGGGAAAATACTTTTCAAAAGATGCGCGCATCGAACTGAGATATTGGACCAATTCTTCAAACACATTATCTTCAAACATTTCTGAGTCGTTTTCGCTAACAAACTCAGTGAGTAACGTAAAACTTTCTATTTCTTTCTTACCAATGCAAATGATCCAAAAATCTAATTTTCTTTTAAAAGTAGTTATTTTATTATAGGCCTGAAACACTGTTGTCTGTTTACCTTGCAATGATAAATTTAATTCGTTAAGTTTTTGAAAGATATCCGCCATAAAAGACAATCGGAACAACCAAGTTTTATCATACAAACGG